TTGTGCACAATAGATAGCTTGTTTTCCTTTTGTTGAGGCAAATTTGAAAGTAGGCTTTCTGTTTTTCTGCAGCTGTCATGACAACATGATTTGTAAACTCAATAATGATGCTACTTGTGTCTTTTGCCCTCCCACTAGACGTAAATCACCCTTTATAGGTACATTTACCAAATCTCTACAGCATCTTCAATCACCCACTGAAGATCCTTTGATAGAAGACAATCCTGACTGCATTGTCTTATAAGCAGGATCAAATTGAAATGCATGTAATTGGTAATTGTTCTGTCTCCAAGATTGGATTGAATAGACCTCATATTCATGTGTATAAATTGTACTTTTTTATTTATTTTTAAATAAATAAGTTGCAACAACAACATACAACATATATAAAAAAAAATAAAATTATACATATATATATATATATATATATATATATATATATATATATATATATATATATATATATATATATATATAGTCAGTATATGTCTGTCATTATTTCCATAAGTAATGCCATAAGTAATACCACTCTTTCTGTTCCAATTTCCTTTTTTTAACTATGTGTTTAACATACAACATTACTTCCAGCACTGAAATGCTTAAACACTCCCTGATCAACAACCAGAGCAGAGAACAGATGTTACAACACCAAGTAGCACATGCTCTGTGTTCAGAGGTTAAGCTTCGCTCTCTTCATCAAACTTCATAATAAAATATCTACATTTTCTCCTGTTACCATCCTAAGAACTGCCAACGTCACTTCTGTGCTAAATATGCCTGTAAAACTTTACAATGCACAATCCAGCTGGTGATAAATTGTAGTTAGTTGCTTTAGCGCACATGTAGCAATCAGCTGCTGTGTCCATGGAAACAGGTGGCATGCTTGTTAACGACCCGAAGGGAGGAAGGGGAAAGAAGAGAGCAAAAGATAACGAGCATAAGTAAAGACACAAAAGAAAAAGGAGAGCAAAGGCAGAAAGAGTCAAGACTTCTGTGGGGATCTATGTTCTGATCTTGCTTTTATTTGGAATATTTCAAGACACATCTGATGTTTCGTAACTGTCCCCAGGCGTCCATCATTTAACCTTGAACTTTCAATGCTCTTTAGAGTTTTACAAACTGTTAGGACGACGTAAACTAAGCCCAAATTCTAATTTCCAGTTACTAAAAGCTTTGATTCAGCCTGTCTTTCTCCAGGTCATCTCTTGTCCTCTATATAATTTTACAGAGGCCTTGATAAGATGCAAAACTGAAGCTGCAGAGCAAAAACTCATGAGCCGTGTTTCCAAAGATGTTCTGATCTTTCAGATCTAACAGTGCTTGTGTGACTCTGTAAATATTCCCTACTTTGTTGGGAATATCAGCTATCCAAACAACTTCAGAGGAAATAAATTGATCAATAAAATTAATTAATCTGAAAAACCTTTCTGTTGAGTTTCTCACAACTGCATTCATAAAGTAAGATGGAAAGATTTCTTATAATTTCATAATTAATATTTATGGGGAAAAAATAAAATGGACAATCTAACAATTTAGAAGAGGAAATATAATCTATTAATGGCTCTATAATTATTAATAAGGTAATCTACAGAATTGTGAGTATATACAATCTAATATCTACAAAACAAATAATTGTGCTTCTATGCTAGCTTTTTCCCATAATACTAGAACTGATTCAAATTCTGGATTTTTTTTTTTTTACACAGATTTATTTGGACATGTTGTAAAACCGTGTAGCAGGAGCATCACAACTCTAAGAAGCCATGTATACTGAACATGAGAACCACTGGTAAGGAATATGCTGGTGAAGATTCTCATTCATCCAAGACATGGCAATCCCAAGTGCTTAAGTATGAAACAGCTGGATTCGTTTTGTTTCTTGATGACGTTTTGCATCTCTTCCAAGTAGCTTCTGTAGTTCTGAAGAAGGATGGGAGGCGCAACGTCTTCAAGAAACGAGGAAAGTCCAGTTGCCGCCTACTTAAGAATTTCTAAGAAATTTACAAGAGTAATCTTGCAGAAGTGACCCAATGAGAGTATTACTTATTTTTACCTTAAATAATGCAAATGCTTACTCTGAATTGATGACATGATATTTTCAGAATTATATCAGCGGTGTCCTAACACAAGCAATGTGTCTGGCATGAAGTTGTTGTAATGAGCATAGTGTTCTCTGGAAGAATGTTTTGTTGAGTGGCTGTAAAACATGGACACATTGTACAACTATACCTGAGATCGCCACAAAAGCAGATTTTTGAACATAGAATATAAAACTTAGCTTTTAATTATAGGACATGTCTGTATCTCACTCTATCTCAAAGAAACTCAAGCCTAAATAAGGTTGTTTTTTTTTTGTTTCTTTTATGACAGGGTTTTATTTTACATTAGTGGATTGCAGCAACAAGCTGTGTTCAGCGACAATAAACTTGATGTGCTCCTGAGCCTGTGCAGCGATTTCCACTTACAGAATCATGTCTATTTTTAATGCAGCGCTGCCTTAGGGCCTGGAGATCACAACCATTTCATATTTGTCTTCAGCCTTATTCTTTCCATCCAGCTACCATTTTAGATCACCTGACACATTTTATTACATTACGTACCACACGTGACTATCTAATCTATTATGTGTTTTAATACAAACTGTTTTTGAGTCTGTCCCCGCATTTCTGAAACAATCACAATTTAAAACCTTGTAGGAGGAAGTTTATTTTGGATAATCTAGACTGTTTAATTTCAATGTTTCAGCTGTTTTCTTTTTCATAAAATAGGGAAAAGGTGAAGGTTGCATAATTAAAAAAAAAAAAAAACTTCCTAAATAATGACTATCAAAGCCAGCCAAGAGTAGAAGCCCAAACAACTGCGAAACAAAAGATAACGCACTATGACAGTCAGATTATCATGTGTTAGTGACCATGACGTAACTGTCGAACCACTGGCTCTCTAAGCTGAGGATACAGTACGTTCGCAGAGTGGAGGGACGGAAGATATGCTACGAGAGGAAAAGAGAGAGAGAGCGAGCACCCTGACTGTCTGACCTGACTCGGTTATGTAAACAAAATAAGTGTAGCGAAAGCAGCAGCAAGCAAACAACAGGGTACATTGCCTAATGAGCAATGGCATGAAAGAGTCAACAGTGTATGTGTGTGTGTATTTTAAATGACCTGCATGCTTTTACCATATTTGATTTTAATTGGACACATTTACTAGCGAGCCCTCCAAATTAAAAAGGCAACCATGAATCTACAACGTTTATCTTTCTGTCCGTGATCCTTCGTCTTTCCATCCTGTCTCTCCTATCCTGTCTAGTGCTCAGTTCCTCTTGTTCTTAGTCAACATCTTTCTTCTGTTCATCCTCTTGACTGGGCTCATGGCCTCCCAACATATAGCTGACCTCAATAGAAATGGCAGGGTGAGGCACAAACATCCAGTCATAAACAATATACTTCAGCTAATAGAAAACGTCTGCTTCGTGTTGGAGAATACATTTTTGGATTTGCTACAAATGCATCCTAGAAGGTTTCCGTTTTATAATCACGAGAAGTCCGACCGATGGCTGCAGGAAGTTACACCAACAAATCTAGATATGTATTTATGTTCTTGTTTTACACTGATACAAAGGGAAAGGGGGAAGATACTGAGTACCCATAACTTCTCAAGAAAACCCCTTTAAAAAAAAATCAGGTCCATCTGAATATTACAAGCTAAAAATTAAGTTCTCTGACATTTTATACAACAAACTTGAAGCACTAAAAAGTGCAAACGACACTTTATAATTTGTTATAAACACCTTTTTATCTTCCTACAGCTACACACTCCTGCCCTACTTTTCTTCACTGTTAATTTATTTTCATCCATCCCCGATTCAGCTGTTCTCATAACAATGGAGCGCTCTCCTGCAGTTAACTGTGAACTACAGCTGCTCAAACAGTTACTTAAGTTGCACAGACGGTAAATAATGCTCAACGCTAATTGTTTACAGTTAAACTAGATAAAACCCAACAGCATTTTTAATTATCATAATCTCCCTGGAAAATTGATGCAGTAAAAGACGTTCAATTCCTTTTAAGCACCTCTGTTCAGTCTAAAACTTTATAGATATAGCCAAAATAAGTCCAAGTACAATTAGCTGTTTAACAGGAATTAATCTAAAATAAAATATCAGAAGGAAAGAGACATTTTTGTTTCAGGTAGACAAGATTTGTAAACATTACATGTAAAATCTCAATGAATATATTCAGGTTTGTCCTGTACACATTATCTGCTTTAGAAACGATTTCAAGTCTAACACCAAAACAGTTTTCAAAATCGACAAAAATAGATACTTTCAAAATAACATTTTTACAGTCTACTGATTCCTAACTGAATTCAAAGGTAGCAGAGAGCATCATGATGGACATTCCTCGATTTCACTTGGTTTGCATCAGCTCTCAGCTTCCTCACAACAGGCAGGACCTCCAACCTGACCTGAAAGTGCTGTTTTTGTCTTTTGTTTTTTTGTTCTGGCACACTGTTGGTTTTATGCGAGACACATGACAGTCAGCATTTGCAAAAAAAGCAGAGAAACAGTACTGCCAAATTACTGAGGTTTTAATTGTGACATAATTTCTTAATATGTTCTTTCCTAACCTGCCCTATGTAAACGTATGTGACTCATACGTGTATTTCTTTTATTGTGTAGGAAAACATTCTGTTGTTTATGTTGCTCTTTCTTAAAAATTTTGTTCAAGAATTAATTTCTATTGTTGCATAATAGCAAAGGAATTTCCACATCCTATACTTCTATGCATTTTGCCACATTTGAACAAAAAACCTCAAAGTATTTTACTGGGAAAACCATTGTTGAAGGAAAACCATTTAAAATTCTCTTTAAAGCCATGGAGGGGACATAGTAAACCCTTCCTCCAGCCAGTTGAGTTTTTATCTCAGCAAAAAATTATTCAGAACAAACTGTCCTGTTAGTAACATGTATTAAAAGCAACATAAGAAAGACATAAACTCACCACCATAAACAAAGTCAACTACTGTGCAGTCTGAAGGCCCCACCAAATGGATCAGGCTGGACTGGCTGAAGCCGACTGTGTGCCTTTCTGCCATGTGGACACACAAACACACAAACAAAATCTTATCACAAACTAAATTCTGGAAAAATAGAAAAGGTATATTTTCCCACAACAACAACTAAACCAAGCCACAAATGGAAAGGCATGCCTGATTTCTGACCAACATTCTCAACATACATGTTGATGTTGTTCACTTACCCTGTGGTGCATCCTCTATGGTTTAGCAAAAATGACAAGAGTTGCATAATAGTTCAATATTTGAAATTGCAGCACAAAAATACGTCTATAAAAACACACTTGGTGTTATTTGTGTTTTACACATATAAAAGGTAAAACTGTGGCACAACCCTTTAACATTGAAAGATTTTTTTTTCTTCACAATCTGATTTCTCTTTCTTTTGTCTTTGTTCTCTTTGATAATGTGACTCGAATTTGATCACAGGAGTAGGGTTGGGGTTAGGGTTAGAAGTAATAACAACTCCCAAGCCAGCACACAGTGCCACATATTTTCTGAGTTGCAGGTATTTCACATTACAGATGTGGTATGTCTGTATTACACTTCATGGTCTGGATGTCATTACAACTGCAGTAATCTGGGAAAGAGAACGTAATGGAAACACAAACTGAACACTGCATTCTACATGGCGCCGAACTCTCCACTTTGTTCTTCACGTAATTACAACCACTGATCAAAATTGCAGTATGAACTGCACAGCAACAAAGAATTTGAATATTGTTTCCAGATTGTACCATGATAAACAGTTCATTCTCATCTACATCAAGTTCTTGCTTTCCCAGAAACAACTTCCCACTGTTCTCACTACTTTGTGATGATTTTAAAACACTAAAATTATTAGGATAGGATGAGGACAGAAATGCAAGTATGATTCCATTCCCTTCTATTTACACTTATTCAGAACTTAAAAAGTCAAATGAAATTTCAGCCGTTTCCAGACTGTCAGAAACCTGATTTACTGACATGAACAGGTAGTAGCAGCTGCAGCATACCTAGGTTTGGTCGAAGCGGCATTGGCTCCTCAACCCTCGCTTTGGTCTCCATTCTCCCAAGTTTCTGTGCTTCGTAGCGCTTCCTGCCTTCTTCTTCCTTCTCTGCACTAGCATACTGCAACACAGAAGACATACAGAGAAAACATGTGTATGCTCTGATTTATTCAACTTGTATATTTTTCGTCAAATAACAGCAGAAACATTGTGAAACCATACGTATGTGACAAAAGGAAAACTTTAATTTCTTTGTCGTTTTACTTCTTTGTCTTGTGCAGCACAAACTTCTACTAAACATTAGTGAAGGCTGGTGGTCATTCCTGCACAAAAACAAAGTGAACCTGGTTCTCATCGAGAGCTTCACTTCACTGATCAGTGTTTCCTTGCATGACTGAAGGTGCCAAGAAGAAGAATATTTCTCCACTGTTTAATAATAAATGTTTCCCAAACCTCCTTGTGAAATCCAAAAGAGAATTTAATATTCTCCTCATTAGCAATGCTCACAAAAACCTCACAGTGCCATTTTACTCCGACAGAACTCTCACAAAAGAAGTCTACTTTTGTTATGCATTTTTACTTCAAAGCCGGTGCGATCATTGAAGTTTGCCATAAAAGTTCTATTTTTAGATTACTAATTCAATCAAAGTCATTTTCTTTATAAAATCTCAGTGTAAGAACTACTATGACGGCTCAGAAGGGGAAAAAAATGCAAAAGCCACAACATAACAACAGATGTTTCAAAGTAAGTTATGCTAGCAAGTTTATCAAAACCTCCACTTTAAAAAAAACTATATTCCTTTTTATGATAAATTAAATTTTAGCTAGGAACTGCGAGCTAGAGAAAAGGAACTCATGTTGGACCAAATTGATCAACTTTATAACATTTTAACATTAAGTGTTAAAATATAGCTCCCGTAGTGAGAGCATTGTAACATAGTTTAATTAAATTTACACATAAAAATGAACAACTGTTTCATACAAAAGTGACAGAGTTTAGGAAATCTTTCCTGGAGAGTGAATGGGTCCTAGTTTGGTTTACTGGTAGCTAAGCTTTTCCATTAGCTTCCCCCAACCCTCTAAACTTAGATAAGACTGCTACTTACCAGAGTTAAGATACTTATTTCTCTCATTCTGGGGTCAACACAACCCCAGAATGCAAGCCCAGAACAAAAGCTCTAAGCTGACCAAGACAAGCTTTAACATACCTTAATAGGAGGCACCTCCATGATCTTGTCAACATTCTGCAGAGAACAGGGGACGTACCACAGTGCTGCCTTGTTGGCCAGCTTTTTTGCACCTGCAACAACAAAGAACAGAGTGAATTCTTGTCCAGTTATGTTAGCAGGGCAGCGTCCAGCTATTTTTGGCAGTCAAGACGTTCTGACATGTTTTTTCTATTAAAAGGAACAATGGAGCAAAATCCACTCTCCACACAAGACGCAACGGCCAATTTAGTTTTCAGCCGTTCTTTTGTTACGGTTTATAGATCCGGCTTTTGCTGCAAACAAAGAAGACGAAGAGAACAACAAAGACTCGGAGACAATTGTCCAGGTCCGTTCAGAGCAGAAACGATCATTTAGACCAAGTTTGGTGAGCACAAAGTTCTGCATAATTTATACGCTGTGAATCCCACAAGTGTAGAACGCATTGAATACCATGACATTCCACACAATAAATGTTCCCAACAAATACTCATGTTGTTTACACCGAGGCCAAATAAAGGCCCTCGCGCTTGAATGCAGCAGTTCCAGTTCTGTGTCTGTGCCTTAAGGTCAGGACGAGAAACTCACTGAAATCACACAACTAGGAGGAGAGGTTGTTATAGCGATTCCCATTCGTCCCACACTTTGTGTCACTTAATTTACAAACAGAGATAGAGGGTCTGTTTTAAGGTGCTGGAATTACGACACACACGTGAGGAAACGAAATAAAGAGGAAATCACCTTCTAAAGCTATTCTAATCTTTAACTTGTGGCCAAGTAGCTGATTTTCACTATGAACTATGGAGGTTATATTTAATAATAAGTAAATCTACAAACAAATGCATCTGCAACATAGCCCATTTTAGCCCCAACACTCAAGGCATTTTAATGAAGACGATACTCATAACAATAATAACGAGTTATTACTGGAGTGAACAGCTTCATAAAACAGTATAACAGACTAATAAGTGAAGTAGCTAATGAACAAGCAGCTAGGTTCACCAGGGCAAATAACAATTAGAGCCTTTTATTTTGCATTATAGAGAGCTCCTATCAATTCAGCTGCTAACGTGCCTCACAGTTGGACTCTCGAGACTGAGAAGACGGCAGGTTAATTTCACGATTAATTCAGGGATATTGGTCTGGAAGGCGATCCAACTCACACAGTAGATTACAGAAATAAGAATCCGACCGGGAATCAGCTTTTCTGATAGCTACGTGTTCATGTGTGGATGAAATCTGAGAGGTTCGTCCAAGCCAGAGCTGCACAATATATTGCTTTAAGTACACCAATTACACTTTGAACCCAACCTTAACCATCAACCCATTTACTTGCATAGTTAATGTCCAGAAAGAAGGTTTTAATGTCAATCTGAAACTTAGATCAGAGATGACATCCCCTGTATGTTTGGCCACAACCAAACTAATAACCTTATTATAAAATATTCACACATTACTTAAAATGGCTGTCTTAATGTAAAGTGGTTCAGAACTGAATGCACATTTCAGCCACATTGATTCTAATAAATTGTCTCTCAGAAACAGAAGTGCTAAGCTGAAAATAAGCAGGAATAGAGCTATTAATGTGGCCTGTGGTCATCTTAGTGTCAAGGGCCGTGGGTTTAGCATTTGACAAAAGACTCTTGGGAACAGAGTACCCTACAGGTCACTGCTTATGTTGTGCGCTGAAGTTAAAACCGAGCAGGCAGCTGGGCCTTGTTGCCATGCCCACCGTGCTTCTCTCCCACTCCTCCTCCCATTGGCTCAAACCCTTGCCAACAACCAGGAAGTTGCCCACAGGAGTGAGAGAGGCGTATTTACATATCCTCGACTCGACCCAGGACTGAGCGGCTCCGGTCTATTATTAGCTCCTGCTGGAAGTTTTAAGTGAATTGTGCTCGCAATCAAGGGAGGAAGGCGAGGAGTGAAAAGGAAGACAGAAGGGAGAATCTCCGGAACGAAGCATTCCCAGAACGACTGATGACCTTTTCTGACCAGAGTGGAACCAGGGAGCTGGCTCTGAATGCCAAATCCCTCTGCAGCACATGAAGACAATGTTGATGTTTGAGCATGACATCGCCTTGACTCCCTCCTTTATCCTTCACCATATCCCCAATAAAACAGCAAAACTTCCTCCCTGTTATCCTTGGGGGATTATTTACTGCGTTAGATGATAAGGAATCTTATATCTTAAGGGCTCAAGGAAAAACTGTCCTTGAAAACGAGAAATTGTGTTGTTTTTAAGAAAATAACTCCAGCATGGTTTGGTTTCGATTTTACGTGTGGTCACATGAAATTTTAATAAATTTACTCAGAAGAGATGGCAGAACAGGCAGCTGGTTCACTTATTTAGGATTACTAAATAAATTACAGATCTGATTTTGGCTACATTCCTTCCAGGAACAGAAGTCTCACAAATCTGCTCTCTGAAATTTCCACTGACTGAGTGCGTTTGGCTTTGAAATTGATCTTAATCTGATGAGACAGCAAGCCTTGGATTTAAGTCCATGAACAAAAGAGAAAAAAAATCCCTAAGTAATATACTCATTTCCTGATTATAATAAAAACATGCATATCTCCTTTAAAGAGACAGTTTTGCATTTTGAAGCAGAGTTTCTAGAGAGGTTATTAACATGTTAGTTGGCAGGGCTAAGGGCAGAAAAGTTTGCTACAATTTAAAAACAATTCCAGTTTCAAAGTCTAGGCAACAGATAACACCAGTTCTGTTTCATATATGTTTTAACCACCATCACAATTGCATTAGTTGCTTGTTTCAGTGTACAGTAATGAGAACCAAGCAGTTTGGCCTCCCCTCAACTTGAGGGGAGGCGATAAGATGAGGATCATCTCAAAGATGGCCGATATGAAAAGTCAATTCAGAGAAGAACCAAGAGCAAGAACGAAAAGACAGATATATCCAAGCTGCCACAGAAGAATTTCCAAACACAAGGCAAAACACCAGAGACTAAACAGAGAGGCTATTTAAAGGACCGGTGCTTATGTGGAGGAAGACTCCCTCCGGCATGGATTATCCCATATTCAATCCCCTTTTATCCAAGTTTAAGTCATCAATCATGGCATCCTGCGTTTCCTGAAAAATACCTAAAAGCATGTTTCTTTTCTCAAACACTTTGATCAGACTTGAACATCTTTGATCTCTGGTCTTGCTCCTCTTGCCCGCCTGTGTTTCTTTCCCCTCAAAGGGTTTTTACTGCCATTTTGTTTCCCCCCTTTTGTCTTCTACTCTCTGCTCTTAGTTCTTCCACAATGGAGTAGAAAAAAATTATTTTCGTCCTCCATCCTGGACAAAGTGTTCCAGGGTTGGATGGAGCACAGAAAGGATCATTCCTGGTGCTCAGCTCCGGTGATCAAAACCGCAGATTTTTTCACTGCACTGTGCCAAGGCTCCTTTTTTACTTTTAACTTTACTATGTTCTCCCTGTGAGATGTTACAGCCTGATAGGAAGACATTAATCATGTGGGCAGGAAAAGTTTAATGGCAGCGCTTTTCTTGTGAATTTCCAATGCTCAATTTAAACATGACAGTATACTTTAGGCTCTCCGAGTGCTTTTAGATGTTTAAAAGGAGAAAGAAAAAGAATACTTTTGTCAGCACTTAATGTCTCGAACTAAATTTACATTGACTGCGGGACAAAAACAGCTCTACGGCTGATGAACTCCAGAGCAGTTCATCCTAACACTAGCTCCACTGCAGTTCCTGTTGCAAATCTCGGATGTGCCCTAAGATTTGTTTTCAAGGGATTTGCCCATTTTTTTCTTGCTCATAATTTTCTTCGGATACGAATGTAAGATAAAGAAGATGTTAGCTTAACAATCTAAATCGAGTATAATCTGTTCACCAAAGCTGTCCAAAATTCTCCTCCATCTTTCAGAGCTCTGGGGCAGAGGGTGAAACATTGTGTGTTGTTTTACTCGTTAAAAAAATATTTTAAAAAATATGTTTTAATAGAAGCTGCACAATCCCCCAGAGATTCCCTTTAGCTAATATTATGTGAGATGCTTTTTTGTAGCTTTCTACCAGTCTCTGACATTGGTCTGAGGAAAGTTTGCTCCACTCCTGACTTTCAGCTGTGAGATTGTAGAGAAGATTCTTGCATGAACAGCTTGTCTGAAGTGGCCCTGCAGTATCAAGATCTAGACTTTTACTTGACCCCTGACTTTCCAGAACACAAACACCCTCTGATACGGCAGAATTGATGGTGCATTCTGTGTTGATCTTGGTCTTTGTTAGTGTTGTCCCAGGAAATTTTAGTAGAATCCTCATGTATTTCTTAGAGAGTAGAGGTTTACTTTTTCCACATGCATTACATTTAGAGTTTCTAGAGACTTCTTTTAGCATCTTGCAGCCTGCTTTCAGGGTGAATTTGCCTGAACAACCAGACCTGGGCTTGTTGGATGTTGTTGTGAATATCCTCCACTTGTAGACTATTTTCCACATACTTGAATGGATGATTTCAAATCCTTTCGAGACCTCTTTAAATCCCATAGCATATAATCTTCTTTCTGAAGGCTTCAGAAAGCTCTTTTGATCTAGTTCAAGTTAGAGTTAACACTTTCTTGGTATACCCTGTTCTGAGGTTTGAACAGGGTATACCTATGATAAAACACTGAGTAATGATGTTCTAACCATGTGCTACTGATGTGATACGTCTGGGTGTAATTTTAGCCATTTTACATTGAGATAAATAACTGAGTCTTCACCAGAAATTGCACTCTAACCTATTACAAAAACCCAGGCTGCTAAAGGTGTCCTCATCTTTTTCAGAGGATGATATAAGAATTTGAAAGGTCTGATGGTGTACTGTTACTAGCATTTTGACCAAAGTCCTTTGTCTTTCAAACCTTAATGTCAATTTTACATTAAATGGTCTCATGTGAGCATGAAACAAACAGTATGGGTTAGCTGTCGTTGTGTTACAAGAACAAGAGCTGTCACTACTAAGCCTCAACCCACAATGCATTCCTCTCAGCTATGCGTGTATTGAGGGGGCATAATCTGGTTAATATACCTTTATGTAAACTTGTCCTTAAAGGTGCATGCACACGCAAAGCCCAAATGCCTCTATTCATAGAC